ACATTTCCTGACAGAAATTGAGATAACAGACATCACAATAAACATCCCACATAAAAAAACATTAGAAATTAAATTACCAGTCATTTTTTCCAGCGTTTTTTGTAACAAAAAGTACATTTGAGTACAAATTGGGCTGTAATCGGTTATCGTGGGCCGTCCCTGGTGTCTGAATTCAGCTGTCTTCCTCAGTTGAAAATGCGGGCTGGTGGAATGAGTGAATCATCCAAATGGAAAAGGCAGAAGCGCTCTCCAAGGCCTCCTCGCCACGTGGTCCGAAACCCCTCCGGCCAGATGGACCCAGGCCAGTCCAGCACTCTGAGCAACAACCTCTCAGGTGAGAGAAATTCAGAGTTTTCTTTTTTTTTTTCATTAAAGTTTTTTTTTTTCATTTTTGTTTTATAAGACGTTAGCGTTGCTATCTGCGGCTAATAATAACATGCTACCATTAATCAAGTACATATCAAACTCCGCCCACATCCAAGTCGGGCATTTTTATTAGGTCACCAATAGGAAGATCCCAGACAAGAAAATCCTAATTGCTTCATGGCAATATAGACATTAATTTAAAAATAGTGAAATGAATCTTTCAAACACTTAATTAAACTCTATACATGTTATGTTAAAATAGTGTATATTAAATCGGTTTGTACAATAAGTCCAAACAAGTTTAACCAAAAAATATTTATTTCTCACAATTATGAAGGCTGGAGGGTTAGGGTTAGGGTCAGGGTCAGGGTTAGGGTTAGGGTTAGGGTTAGGGTTATGGTCATTAATGTGGGCCACCAGTCCCGATAACATCAGTAACAGGTCAGTTTGAAATTAAAGACACAATTCAGTTCAATTTGGGGGTCTTTGTTTTTATCCTTGTGGTATCGAAAATGGTATCGAGTATTTTCCTGAGTATCGCTATCCAGTTGAAAATTTCAGTATCGTGACAACCCTACATGGTAAGAGTTTTCCTTTCTGTCGGCCTTTAGGTGGCGTCCCCTTCATCGAACAGGGCCTGCCGGCCTCGGAGAGCGCCGGTTCGTCCATTTCCAGCCCCACAGACAGCGGCCTGGACACCTGCTCCAAAGCCACGTCCAGGGAGGACCTCTCAGACCTGGAGCAGTACAGCTCCTCCTGCCCCACCGCCTCCGTCCCCGGGGCAGAACCGGGCCTGTCGGACGCACAGGTATGCACTAGGGATGGGACGGTTTCTGAAAACCGTGTGAACCGTTGGGTTCTGTCTCGGTTGGGTTGGCATGTGTTGTGTTCGGTTCATGCTGCTCCTTTTTCTCAGAGGGAAGCGTTTACACTCCAGAGCAGAAGGGGGCGCTACTGCGCCCAAAGCCAACCACCAGTAGGAAAAAACAAGAAGAAGAAGAAGCAGCGTAGCCCATAAAAATCAGACCCAGCAGCAGTTTATACAGTGGGGGAAATAAGTATTTGACCCCTTGCTGATTTTGCAGGTTTGCCCACTTACAAAGAATGCTTATTTTTCCTCATCAGATGGTTATCAATTTTTATAAATTCATATGATGTGATTTTCTGGAATTTTCTTTGGGATTCTGTCTTTCACTGTTAGAATGTACATATGATTAAAGTTATAGATCGTTGCATTCTTTGTAAGTGGGCAAACCTGCAAAATCAGCAAGGGCTCAAATACTTATTTCCCCCACTGTATGTCGCATTAATCAGAATCAGAATCAGAATCTGAATAAGGTTTATTGCCAAGTAGGTTTTTACACTTACAAGGAATTTCCCTTGGTGTTTGGTGCACAACACAACACTTCTATGAGAAGCAAGAAATAAAAATATAGGACAGAAATGATAAAACCAAAAAATACAATCTTTAAAAATATAGATCCGAATGTACAAATGAACAATTGAAATGTGCAATTACCGGCCGAGGCAGATGGCCGCCCACCCTGAGCCATGGTTCTGCTCCAGGTTTCTGCCTGTTAAAAGGAAGTTTTTCCTTGCCTGTGTCGCCTAGTGCTTGCTCATGGTGGGAATTGTTGGGTTTCTGTAGTTAACTTCAGAGTAGGTCTGACCTGCTCTGTTTGGAAAGCTGTGAGACAACTGTTGTTGTGATGTGGCGCTATATAAATAAAATTGAATTGAATTGAATTAATTTTAATTTTGTAATGTCATTGTCTGAACGTGTGTTTGGACTGATTTTGTATTTTGTGATTTTGTGTTGTTTGGTCTTCCTGCCTCAGGACGACAGATGTAAATTAGCAACTATGCTAGAATCTGGCTCATTTACAATCTGTATGAGACTGTTCATTAATGTGCACTGTCCTGATTAAATAAATAAACATAATGTTGATCTGCAACGACAAACCACAAAATGCTGAAAGCATTGGGTAAATTATTGTGCTGTCTCTGTGTTTGGGTGCAGATGGAACCAGCCCAGTCGGCCTCGGTTGAGTCCATTCCCGAAGTCCTGGAGGACAAAGACCCGGTACCCGAGCAGCTGGACACCACGTCGGTCCACGACATGGACTACGTCAACCCTCGAGGAGTCCGATTCACACAGTCCACGCACAGAGATGGTATGTTTATGTTTATGTTTAGGCATTTGGCAGACGCTTTTATCCAAAGCGACTTATAGAGTAGACCCAATATTCCATTTCTCATCACTATGACAATAAGCTATCCAGAGGAGAAACACTGATCAGAGTCAGTGGTGAGATAGAGATAGAGGTAGAGGTAGAGATAGAGGTAGAGGTAGAGATAGAGGTAGAGGTAGAGATAGAGGTAGAGATAGAGGTAGAGGTAAAGATAGAGGTAGAGGTAGTGGTAGAGATAGAGGTAGAGATAGAGGTAGAGGTAAAGATAGAGGTAGAGGTAGAGGTAGAGATAGAGGTAGAGATAGAGGTAGAGGTAGAGATAGAGGTAGAGGTAGAGATAGAGGTAGAGGTAGAGATAGAGGTAGAGGTAGAGATAGAGGTAGAGATAGACGTAGAGGTAGAGATAGAGGTAGAGATAGAGGTAGAGGTAGAGGTAGAGGGACTACAGAAGGAGCTGTGGGGGGTAGAGGTACGGGTTAGGGTTAGAGAGTTTTAACCTGACTATACAAGACATAATAGATTTTCCTAACAATCAACACATACCGAACCGAACCCAAAACCGCAACCACGAAACCGTGAATCGAACCGAACCGTGGATTTTGTGAACCGTCCCACCCCTATAACGGCGGTTTAGACACAGGTCCTTTTCCCTTTTCCTGACCCTCGTCTTCCTCTAATCCCTTGTCTGCAGGAGTGTCCCTCATCCCCTACGGCCTGCCTTGCTTAAGGGAGCTCTTTCGCTTCCTGATCTCTTTGACCAACCCCCACGACCGCCACAACACGGACGCCATGATGCACATGGGCCTACAGCTCCTGACCGTGGCCCTGGAGTCCGCACACATCTCCAACTACCAGTCTTTACTCGTCCTGGTGAAAGAGGAATTGTGCCGGCATCTCTTCCAGGTTATAAGCTTTTCGGTCCGTTTGCGTTTTTCTGTTTTAGCCTCACTTAACCCTTGTGTGGTGTTCGGGTCTGTTTGGCCCCTTTTCATTTTTTACTAAAAGAAAAACAATACAATGAATTAATTTTGCAAACTGAGACTCACTGGCTTTGGCTCATTTTCTGTCAAGAACATATATCAGAATTCGTATTTAATGCCCACACACCGTACACATTTCTATTACATATAAGATGTTCGGGTCCACTGGACCCGGGGCTAGAAGAAGTGTGGAAATTGATGTTCTGTGAACCACACACACACACTCACAATGTGGCAACCTTGTGTGTGAACCCCAGGTGCACAAACACAAAACAAACAGTTCCCACTAGGCATGGCAAGATTCACCGATGCGTATCGGAACATCGGAACGACCTGTGCGATACGGTTGCATCGATTTGCAAACGTCTGCATCGGTAAAAACCGCACATAAACTCGAGATGCATCGTATCAAAACTACCTGCATCGATACAAACCGATTATTATCTTCTATTATTATAACTTTTTAGAAACGTGTCTTTGAGTTTTAGTTGCGTTTCTTGTAAAGTTTCAGAGAGACAATCACTCTCTAAGTTGCACTTCCTTTGCTTCAAAATAAAAGGCACAGTTAGCTTGCGTGCTATAACTTGAACTATGTAGTCCATGGTGTACTTTTCTTCTGCATTGCATCGTATTGTATCGTATCGTATCGTATCGCACTGTATCGCAGCATTTTAAATTTAGATCGTTCTGTATCGCACCGGATCGCAGGAGGTTGGAGAATCGTATCGAATCTTATCACTAGAAATTCCATGAATCGTGAATGTATCGAATCGTTGGCTGTGTATCGAGATGTGTATCGTATCGCCTTGGTGGTGAAGATTCCCATCCCTAGTTCCCACACATTGTTTTCTGCTCTAATTTTCTGTCTATCTGCTAAAAATTGGGGGTGGGGCCTCACTGGCACAGCTTCGCCAGAGTGGTTTCTTATAACCAATCAAGAGGGCCAAAAGGTTCTCTGCCCAGAGGACCCTGGGATTGATTTTGGATGAGAGAGAGGGAATTTAAGATAAGGTAAACATCTGTTCAGTATTTTAACATAAAAGTGTTTTAATATAAAAGTGATTTTGAGGCATTAAAAGCCACAAAATGCAACGGGTCCGTCAGACCCACAAACACTGGCTGAGTAACAACAATATGAACACCACACAAGGGTTAAACCCAAATCGGCCCCTTTTTTCTGTCGTTTTTGTCGTTTATCTGCCCCTTTTGTGTCTTCCAGCTGCTGAGTGTGGACCGCATGAATCTGTACGCCTCATCCATACGAGTTTGCTTCTTGCTCTTTGAGAGCATGAGAGTGCATCTGAAGTTTCAACTGGAGGTAATGGGATACTCGCTTAAGTTCGTTCTGTGTAGCTCCCTAAATTGACCACCTGGTTAAAAAAGACTCACGGCAGCCAGACATTGGAGCGTAGGAACCTTGTCAGGTACCTGGATCCTTGTTTCTGAGGTTTCCCCTGATGAAATAGATCTATTCTGAAGAACTGATGGCATATTGACAGGAATCAGACCTTTGAGGACTGGATTTGGAGACTGGATTTAGGATGTGTTCCCTGGGAATCGTAGACAAAACAGATTTCCAATCGGCCAACGTTGGTCAAAAGTTCCCAGCACTTTTTAGAACGCTTCTCCTCTACGATTCCATGTTGATATAACTAACAGAGCTTTAGTTGTATAGTTTGAACTCTTATTACTGTAGTAAGTAGAGATGATTATGAGCAGAAACCTTTGTATGAATGCAACTTTATCACATACTACCAGAAACCCAGAATCTATAGCAATGTGTCACCTCACTGTAAAGTGGGCATTTGAACATTTGACCATCGATAGTTATTATTATGTTGTTCTCAGTAGGAAAAAAGAGAAGAGCAGAGATCAAAACAAAAACAATGAACTGGAGCTATAAATCAGGACTAACGTCCACTGGTAGGATTATGTAACATGGATGAAATGAAAAGGAGTGGTGAAGGTCAACAGGTAGTTTTTTAATTTATTTTTATTTCTTTATAAGTACGGCAGCACCTCAGGGAGTGGTGACACACCTCAACGAACTCCATTTGCCTAATCTGCTGTGAGCATAGGAAATGCAAAGCTCCCCGGGAAGCGATTTTACTCTATAAAGCCCCGGGCCGTCCTTTTTATGGCTCCGTTTTACGGGCACACAAATGCCATCCAAAGCCCTCACAAAGCCAATTAACCCGTGTGCCCATCCTGGCAGATGTACCTGAAGAAACTGATGGACATCATCACCTCCGAGAACTTAAAGATGGCCTACGAGATGAAGGAGATGGCGCTGGAGGCCCTGGTCCAGCTCTGGCGCATCCCCAGTTTCGTCACAGAGCTCTACATCAACTACGACTGCGACTTCTACTGCTCCAACCTGTTCGAAGACCTCACCAAGCTGCTGTCCAAGGTACAACGGCTAGTATTTTAGAGCCGTATTATGTATTGTTATATATATATACGTATACGTGTACCCATATCTTATTTTTTCTTTCTCTCCATTATGGAAATAGGAATCAGAATCAGAATCAGAAATACTATAATAATCCCAAAGGGAAATTATTTTTGTTACTGGCTCCATAAATAAAACAACGGCACATACATATATACATGTCTGTACATATATACATATGTATATATATATATATACAAAATTCCTCATATAATATAGATAGATATATACATAAAAAACTATATGTACAGTGGAGGAAATAAGTATTTGACCCCTTGCTGATTTTGCAGGTTTGCCCACTTATAAAGAATGCAACGATCTATAACTTTAATCATATGTACATTCTAACTGTGAAAGACAGAATCCCAAAGAAAATTCCACAAAATCACATCATATGAATTTATAAAAATTGATAACTATCTGATGAGGAAAAATAAGCATTCTTTGTAAGTGGTCAAACCTGCTAAATCAGCAAGGGCTCAAATACTTATTTCCCCTACTATATATTGGGCTTATGTCATCTTATAAATAGGGAGAGTAGAAAAAAGAGAATTTATCCTGTTTTTGTGCTCAAAAGTGTCTGATTTTGAATGTAAAACTGGACCAGAGTCAACGGTAATGCACCGACTCCACTTTTGACCAGTTGTGTGACACATTGGTTGTTGACCTCAAAGCCTTTAGTAATGGATTTGCAAAACCTCCATTTAATTCCGGCCCCCCCCCCCCCCGCCCTCCTCTCTTTTTCCACATGTATAGAATGCATTCCCGGTGTCCGGGCAGCTTTACACCACGCACCTACTGTCCTTGGAGGCCCTGCTAACGGTCATCGACAGCATTGAAGCCCAGTGCCAGGTCAAGGTCCCGCCCAACACGACTCTGCAGGAACAAACGGACGCACAACTGGCCGAGGGAGAAGGTCCCGTCACCAACGGGACCGACTCAGCGGGTACACTGAGTTATCTCATCTACACCACCGTTCAAAAGTTTGGGGTCACCCAAACAATTTTGTGTTTTCCATGAAAAGTCCCACTTATTCACCACCATACGTTGTGAAATGAATAGAAAATAGAGTCAAGGCATTGACAAGGTTAGAAATAATGATTTGTATTTGAAATAATATTTTTTTTACATCAAACTTTGCTTCTGCTCTAAATATTTCTTGCACAATTTGGAGAATAGACTGTTGAGTTTCAGATGAAAGTTCTCTTTTTTCTGGGCATTTTGAGCATTTAATTGACCCCACAAATGTGATGCTCCAGAAACCCAATCTGCTCAAAGGAAGGTCAGTTTTGTAGCTTCTGTAACGAGCTAAACTGTTTTCAGATGTGTGAACATGATTGTACAAGGGTTTTCCAATCATCAATTAGCCTTCTGAGCCAATGAGCAAACACATTGTACCATTAGAACACTGGAGTGATAGTTGCTGGAAATGGGCCTCTATACACCAATGGAGATATTGTACCAAAAACCAGACATTTGCAGGTAGAATAGCCATTTACCACATTGGCAATGTATACAGTGTATTTCTTTAAAGTTAAGACTAGTTTAAAGTTATCTTCATTTGTACAGTGTATTTCCTTAAAAAATAAGGACATTTCAATGTGGCCCCGAACTTTTGAACGGTAGTGTATTTGGCGGACTTTGTCTACAGTGGGGGAAATAAGTATTTAACCCCTTGCTAATTTTGCAGGTTTGCCCACTTACAAAGAATGCTTAATTTTCCTCATCAGATGGTTATCAATTTTTATAAATTCATATGATGTGATTTTCTGGAATTTTCTTTGGGATTCTGTCTTTCACTGTTAGAATGTACATATGATTAAAGTTATAGATCGTTGCATTCTTTGTAAGTGGGCAAACCTGCAAAATCAGCAAGGGGTCAAAGACTTATTTCCCCCACTGTATTTGCTCTCATTTGGTTTTATCCTGAAACAAATCTCTTGCTTTTACGGTCAGAACCCAACCGGGCGGTCCACTCCAACCATCTGCCCCAGCCTCAAACTGAAAACACACCAGTGTGTCCCCCCACCAGTGGACACCTCATGGCAGAAACAATGACTCTGGGCAGGCAAGATCAAGGAGACAGTGAAAGTGGTGAGAGTCCGTTAACCCTTTTTTTCCTGAAAGACCCCAAAAACCATGTCAAGAAACTTCTCACACAGATATTTTCCCTTCAACAGAGAAGAGGATTCCCAAAAAGCCCCATCGTTTCCTGTCCTATCTACCTGAGTTACAGGAGCTTTTGGAAATTCGAACAAAGAAAAAGGTAAATGACGTGGAGCGTTCTAGGGATGGGACGGTTTCTGAAAACCGTCTGAACCGTTGGGTTCTGTCTGGGTTGGGTTGGCGTGTGTTGCGTTCGGTTCCTGCTGCTCCTTTTTCTCAGAGGGAAGCGTTTACACTCCAGAGCAGAAGGGGGCGCTACTGCACCCAAAGCCAACCACCAGTAGGAAACAAAAAGAAGAAGAAGAAGCAGCGTAGCCCATAAAAATCAGACCCAACAGCAGTTTCTAGGTCTGCTGTATGGACCAGTTTGCATTTAGAGGGAAGCACATGTTGGAATTAGCACTGTTTCCTCTCTGGCAGAATCTCACCTACTTTAACCTCAGACTGTCACAATAAAAAAAAACAATTACATTCCAATAGACAATCCTTTAAACTTTACAGACAAATATAACCGTGTTATCTCAGATAAAAATAGGTCGGGAAAAATATTAACAATCGAAACCGCAAACATACTTTACTTATTTAGAATATTAATAAAACTTAAAACCGGACACAATATAATACAAAAAACAGTACAAACCTTGTGCCCTTTTAAGTAACCTTTTTTACACCTTAATATAGCGACCGTTTGTTTTCTAACGTTTTTTCAACGTTCCTCGACAGTCCCGAGGTCTCCCGAGAGCCCTTCAAAATAAAACGCTTTCTTCAAACATAAAGAAACATTCATCTAACTTCGTAAATTCACAACACAAATTACACAAGAAATAAGAACGACAACAAATTAGATTTCATTAAAGGTAATCTACAGTATCAAATGTCAGACTGCTTTTTTCTTTCAGTTTTAACCTGACTATACAAGACAGACATAATACATTTTCCTAACAATCAACATATACCGAACCAAACCCAAAACCGTGACCATGAAACCGTGAATTGAACCGCGGATTTTGTGAACCGTCCCACCCCTAAACCGTTCTAAAAGTGCGTTAATATCTCATCCATGGCCGATAATGAAGCGTGTTCTCACCATCTAGCTATCTTTCCTTCTGTGCATCCAGCTGCTGATCACGGGCACAGAGCAGTTTAACCAGAAGCCCAAGAAGGGGATCCAGTTTCTGCAGGAGAAAGGCCTCCTCACCGAACCCCTGGACAACAACCAGGTGGCCCAATGGCTCCGCGAAAACCCCCGACTGGACAAGAAGATGATCGGCGAGTACGTCAGCGACCGCAAGAACATGGAGCTCCTGGACAGCTTTGTGAAGTAAGGGGTAGGGTTGTCAAAAGTATCGCTACTCGAAAAAGTATCGATACTAAAAATGTTGTATCCGGATACGATACTCATTTTCAAAAGTATCGATACCACCCCCCTTCTCTCTGATTTATTTATGTATTTATTTACGTTGTTTATGTTCATTAACAAGATGTTAGCCTTGAACTGCTAGCTGCGGCTAATGGCTAATAATAACATGCTACCCTTAATCAAGTACATATCCAACTCCGCCCATATCCAAATCGGCCATTTTGATTAGGTCACCAAGAGAAAGATCCCAGGCAAGAAAATTCTAATTGCTTCATGGCAATATAGACATTAATTTAAAAATAGTGAAAGTAATCTAGCAAACACTGAATTAAACTCTATCCATATTATTATGTTAAAATAGTGGATGTTAAATAGGTTTGTACAATAAGTCCAAACGAGTTTAACCCAAAAATATTTATTTCTCACCATTATGAAGGCTGGAGGGTTAGGGTTAGAGTTAGGATTAGGGTTAGAGTTAGGGTCTGGGTTAAGGTCAGGGTCAGGGTTAGGGTTAGGGTTAGGGTTAGGGTCAGGGTTATTAATGTGGGCCAGCAGTCACGATAACATCAGTAACAGGTCAGTTTGAAATGAAAGACACTATTCAGTTAAATTTTGGGGTCTTTGTTTTTATCCTTGTAGTATTGAACATGGTATCGAGTATCGAGTATTTTCCTGAGTATCGGTATCCAGTTGAAAATTTTAGTATCGTGACAACCCTAGTAAGGGTAGACATCTCCAGGCGTCCGGCACTTTGGCTGGTTTTGGGTGGTTTTGGGTCTAACGCCCGTCTCGTTTGCAGCACGTTTACCTTCCAGGGGCTTCGGATTGACGAGGCCCTGCGCCTCTACCTGGAGGCCTTCAGGTTACCCGGAGAAGCCCCCGTGATCCAGAGACTCCTGGAAACCTTCACAGACAACTGGCATGTAAGGCGCCGTCGTGGTTATGCTTTCACTTACGTTAGGAAAAAATAAATATAAAAAGGTTATGAAAAATGGGAAGTGGTAGAAACAGTCTGGATGCTAACAGAGCCTGAAGGACAGAACAATATCAGAGAACTTGGAATAAAAATATTCCATAGTGCTGCTGATTTAGGATCTGCAGTGTGGCATTTACTTTGAGTTAACACACACACATACACACTCCAAGCTTTTGGACTGAAGTGAATTAATTTAAATGATAAATTTGTTTATATATATATAAAATAATAAAATAAAGTTTTTTCACCCTTTCAGAAGTTAAAGTGATTGACTCATTGACTGGCAGCCATTTTCAGAACAGAGTCCCATACTGCCAGAGTTTTTTTAGCATTTTGACTGATTTTTCAAGAGCCACAGAATAGTTTGTGCTATGACTATGTAAACACCGAACACACCAAAAGAAAGAGTAGACTCTCTTCTTTCATCAGGAAAAAAAA